CTTCTGAATGCCCTAACAACGTGATTGAAAAATCTTGCGGCTTTGGATTGTCCACTCAAAATATTTCTTCTTTAAATGTAAATGAATGATTAAGAAATCTTTCCCTGACATTGTCAGCAATCTGGTCTCTGCCACAATAATGATCTGAGCTCCCATCTTTAAATCTGTAAGAATTGTTTTTGAGGGTCTGCAAACTAAAAAATCCCACTTTCAACTTCTGTGGAAACATTAACAAAATCCTTGCTCAAAGCTACTTATTTAAACGTTTTTTTTTTTTTTTTTTTTTTTTTTTTCTTTCAATTTTATCTGTCTAGTGTCTAGCACTCTCCTCATATTTTTCTCAATGATCAGCAAAATCAAGTCTACAAAATAATTATATCAAGAGATTAATACATACAAAATCTTCAACCTCATTTCAGGCTTATTTCAGGCACTTCTTCACTCCTTTTCTTTTTTCCTTTTTCCTTTTTTCTCTCTTTCTCTTCTTCTCTTTTGAAACAAGAAAGTTGAAATATAAACCATAATATAGAACAAGACAAAATATCTCAATAATAAAATGCATAAAACTTATCAAAATCGATAACAATTCAAGAAAATTCAAAAGAAAGATATTCTAAATAGCATATATAAAAATGAACAAAGCATGATCATTAGAAACATTGTGACAGCATTTCAGAGTCTGCAAACAGCTGAAACATTTGTTTCCAGTGAAAACCCTTGGCATCCCTTCCCGGGCAGGGCTGGCAAGTTTCACCTCAAAACTGTGTCAGCTGTCACATTTGTAGGATCGAATTGATGGTCAAAAATGACCTGCATATCATTCATTTTTGTGCAGAAACCTCTGAATTTTGCTGGCAAATTCATCTGTCCAAGTTAAAATCAGGGTCTGGCCAGGACCCAAACTTTAAACTGGAGAGATGTCCCTTAACATATTATATAAAACAAAACTTACACTAACAATACATATATAATACTTAAAACATAACAACCTATTATAACATTTTCTTATAAAATAAACACTTGAAGTTCAAACCGATAAACTGGTCAAATGACACAAAGATTCATTTTTCTTGAAACTCTTTTGAAGGAAAAGTATGTCAATTGAAGAAATCGTAAGATTAACAATGGCAAGAGGTTGTCAGAATGTTTCAGGCACCTCTCTCTGAGATTTTCTGAAAAACATTTGAGAATGATGAAAAATAGAAATGCAATGATTCCACTCACAAGAGATATAAAAACGAATCAGGAAGTTCACCTAGAAAAATGCACAATACAGTTAAAATTCAAAATGAGACTTCAGAACTGGCATGTAACCTGGATAAGATTACATAAACAACAATAAAACATACGAGAATTCACTATGAAAAAACGAAGCACAAATCTTCACCTGATAACATGATAAAATTTCTTAACAATAACGTTTATAGAACACTTAAATAGTTAAAAATAAAGGATTTGAAAACAAATGCCTTTTGTATCACTATACAAAGAAATAACAGACTATAAAACTGATTTTTAAACAATGAAATCAATCTCAGAAAACTCAAAATAAATTCTTTTACAACTCTTATATACTGATAAACTTATAATAAAACAGAAAATACTAAAACAAAACCAAGAATCCAATAAATCCAATAACTTCTCCTTAAATCAATGTTCATTATTATTTTGTGAACTGTTTCAGACAAAACCTTCTCATCCTTAAAGAAAAACAACTAAACTTTGCTGCTGAATAAACTTGACCTTTGAAAAACTTAAAATAATTTTTGAATTAAATAGTACTTAAACTCAATATATAACAATCTTAATAAAGAATCCCTAAATTATATTAGCTTTATGAAATTCATATGTATCAAATTAACAATATATAAATCCATTATCAATTAAACCTTTGTAAACTTAACTTCTTCAGGGCCCAAACCTAAAATAAACTTAAAGTGATATACTCTAATTAAACAATACTTAACTTAAACGCAAACCAACTATATAAAAATCAATTCTATCATTAATAAAACGTTAAAATACAACCTAACTTAAACCTTAATATAATAAATTACTAACATTTCATGCTATTTAATTCTCTATCTCAATTTTCATTATGATATCTCTTTTTCACAATGTGTTCCACAATTATTACTTATCATCACACCGGCTGGGCGTGTCTGCTCGATCAATTCTGTGACCTAACTGAAAAAATCTGGGGTTGGTGTTTAGAAACATTGGGGAGATTTGAAAAGGCCTTGTGTTGGCTGGTTTTCAAAAAGCGGCTGATGGAATTTTATTTCAGGGTGAAAATTGGGTGTCCCATTCCTCAGCATTGCTGCAGGATATTTGCTGCTTGTAAAAGATTGTTTGCTGTTGTGATTTTTTGTTTGCCGCGGCATGAGAGCACTGGGAGCATTTCTGGTGCAGTCAAACCCCGCTTCTGCCTGCGTTAGGATGGCTGCGTCCCTCTCTCTTGCTCACACCCGCTGTCAGCCACTTCCGCGTTCGCTTTAACTCTCGCAAACGCATGCGCAGCCTTGATTCACCCTCTCTGTCTGCGTCGCCATGGGAACAAGGGAAGGAACTCCCGCACCGACCGCGCCCGCCCATACCGGCTCCGCGCGGCCGTCCCTCGGGAACGTCCCCCCCCATTCTCTCTGTCAGGCCTGGCGCTGCCTCGGTTTTCGCTCTGGGTCGGCCCGCGCCGTCCCCGAGCCGCTGCTGGAGCCCAGCGCGATTCGGCGCTCTGCTGACGTCATCAGCGCCCGCCGCCGCGTTCCGCGCTGTGCAGCCCCGCGCCGCGTCCCGCCCGGCCCCGCGCCGCTCGGGTCTCCCCCCGCGGCCACTGCGCAGTCTGCGGACGGCTGGCTGGCGGCCACCGCCGCCCCCGACGCCGTCTGTGCCCGTGCCCGTGCGTTCAAGGTGCAGGAGATCTCCGCTCCGACTTCCGGGTTTTGCTCTACCGTCTCGCGCATGCGCGCTGCCATCGCCGCAGCGACAGGAGAGTCCAGCTCTCCGTCCAGCCGCCGGCCTGGCCAGCGCCGCCGCTGCGAATTGGGAGCTATTCCCCGGCACCTGCCGGACGGTGCTTTCGCACTCTCACGGATTCCCGTCATGGAACGCATCACCGGGCACTCCAGGCGTCTGACCGCCGCACCGCGCTCCCGCCGCCTCCTGCGTCCGCTGGTTCCCACTGCCCCCCCCCCTCTCGCCTGCACCGCGGGCTGTTTTGAACTCCCCACCCGCGCAGCTGCGAGTTCTCTCCTCTCTCTCACTTTTCCCTCCGCTCTGCACTCAAGTCTGCCCCTCCCCCCAGGAGCCGCCGGCGCCGCTGCCCCCCCACTGTGGGTTCGGACTCGGGCAATGGCCAGTCCTTTCCTCCACCGAGGGCTGCGTCTGTGCCTAGCTTGTCTCTCACTGTCTGGGGATTTTCTGCAGCTGAGGAGCTTAGAAATTGAGATTTGAGGAGTCTTGAGGAACAGTGTGAACCTGGAGACATAGGACATGATGAGACACCACCCCCCCTGATCCTCTTCGGGAGGCAATTTGCTTCCCCTGGTGAGGAAAATTGCCCCAAGCTGCTGGCTGGGCCATCTTCCTCCTTGTGCTCCCATAGGAGCCTTAGCTGTTCAGTCTAAAATGCCGCGTTGTGAAAATGACTCTTATTGTCCTTGCTGAAGGCAAAAGTTTTTGCGGCAGTCTTATCTCTCTTTTTTTTTTCTTTTTCCTGTGGCTCGGTAATACAGTTGCTTATTGATCCCTTACGAAAATTTAACTCAAACAAAAGATGTACATCTGTGTGCGGGTGAGTATACTGCACCCACAATAACAAAGCTTTCATCTCATTTGAGGCTATCTCTACCAGATGGGTAAAAGTCTTGCCCTGTAGGGCTGAAAAAATTTTTTGTCTGTCCTTGGGAGCATCCCTTCCCCATGTTCTTAATTTCAACCATTCTCACCAAAAGCTGAGTCACCACGAGGTCAGTCCGGAGATGGCACTGTTCATCGTCCAGCAGGTCACAGGCGAGAAATCCCAGGCGCGCTTCTGGTTTTCCTCCTCCTGGCTGTCCTCCAGACGAGCTGTCTTGGTGAAGGTCAGGTTCTTATCTTGAGCTTTTCGCTCCCTCTCCTCCCGGAATCTGCCGAGAGCATTTGTGCTCTGTTCCTCTTCCTTTCTTTATTTTTTTGTTTTTCTCTGCTGATGAAGGTTGGAGGTTGTTTGCTGTTTCTTCTTGTTCTTGCTGATGCCCACCCAGGGACGCCAATTGTCGGAATCTGTGGGTATTGGTGATTCCGAGATTGTAGAAAGTCTCTGTCTTTCTGCCCCATTGCCAAAGAAGAAGCCATAGTTCGTCCGTGCTGGTTTCAAGGTTGTTTATTTTTGCTTATCTATAACAAGTTCTGCTGCCCTGCCGCAGGTCTATCCTGCAGGGCAGTGTGTGGGGCTCTGCCCCTCAGTGGGATGGTACAAACATTATATACAAAAAATTACGTGTACTATATTTACAATAATGTGCCAATATCTATCATCTACGTTGAATAGTGTGTCCCTAGCCTAAACCAATAGAAAAATGCCAACATCACCAAGAACATGGAGGTAAGGAAGAAGAAGGAGGAAGAACAGGATCAGGCCCACTTTCCTCCATCTTAGAACTCCTGACCCCCCTGTACAAAGTAGAACCCCCCTGTACAGGTGTTAAAACCCCCCTGTACAATACTAAAAAATTTTACCCTCTAATTTGTGACTACTTTTACTATATCATCTAACCCTCTGTGACTGCTTGTTCCACCTTTAAAGTTGGTAATTCATTCCATGGTTCAAACTCAAGATCACAGCTGTTTTCAGCTGCTTGCCAGGGTCTAAAATGCTTCTGACCAAGGCCTGGAACCTCTAAAAATGTCTGAGGGACATTTTGAGTTCCGACAACCAACCATCAACATGAAGCACTTGTACCAAAAAGAGACATGACAAAACTACATTTTCTCTTTCTTCAAAAAGGCCTTGTATCCCCTTCAATTAAACCTCTATCTAGCACACAGAGTGAAGTAACTGTTTACATTAAAAAAATTTGATCCTTTACAGCAACACAGCTCTCCTTCTTAGGTCTGAAAGACTCTAGATTCGTTTTTCTGTATTTTTATTAGAAAAAAATTATAACTATAGCTTCAATTTGGGTTCTTTTGCCTCTAAAGCCTTGGTTGCTAGTTCCACTCTCTCTTTTAACAAGCCAGCTTCTTCAGCACTCTTTTGGGCTTGGGCATGTTTCAGTAAGAAGTGGGTAAGGAAGAGTTTCAAGCCTTCCCGCAGCATTCCCAGTTTGGGGTTGTCAGATATCCTGTAAAGATACAGATCAAAAGTATAATTTAGTCTTCCCCCATTTCAAAAGTTCCTTAATTTTATCATCTTCAAATAGGGCAGTAGAAAAACATCCAACCTATAAAAGAAGTTTTATTGAAGAAGCTTTCAAATTACCAAGTCTACCTTGGTTTGGCAAACAGCCCAAACACTCGACATACAACTGGCCTCAACAATAAAATGGAATATTGCAGCCTAAGGCTTGTTTTATGTAAATAATTACATTACAGCAAAGAACAAAGCAAACACCATGTTCAAGCTTCCTTGTGTTGCTGCATGACAGCTAAAACACCACCACCTAATTTTTTCAAATTTTATGTGACATTGCAAGACTTATACACTCAAGTCTTAAGCATCTCTAAGGATGGAAATTCTCCAGCCTCTCCAGGCAACCCTGTCCCACATATAAAAAAAAGATTTTTCAGAGAACACTGATAAAAAATCCATTAAAAATCCCCCAAACATTTGCCTCTTTAGTATCACTTTCTTTTTCCTTCTTGAGATACATCCTAAAAATGACAGCTGGCAGAGTGAATTCCACTGCACACAGGTGGTATAGCAATATGGGAAACAGGGAATTGCAGAGCTCTGCTCATGAAAATCCTACGACCAAAATGGTACACTGAATATCTGGAAGCCTTATTTTATACAACACAATTGCATCTCTATCAGAGCCTGTACCAACACACATATAACACACTGGCCCCACTCAGCCAGGGAGAGTTCACATTTTAAGGGATGGAGGGCTGATGTGTGGAAAAGGCACAGTGTAATTCCAAACAAAACAGGCAAACTTCTTATCTTCTTAATTACTACTCAACAAGGGTCTCTGGAGGTGCCAGTGATCACTTACCTCATAAAAATGTCAGTAATTTCTTCCTCATCTGCTTTAGTTAACAGTGTGCTTAGCACCTGTCGTAAGAAACGGACTTTGGGTTTGTCCAGTTCACTGAATTCAATCACCTGGCAGACAGAGAGGGAGAATTACATTAATTCAAGTATTTCAAACAGCTGGTCTTCTCTCCTAAATGAAGAACTTTCAGCACATCAGCTGGACTCTGAAATATACTGAGCCTTGAGTTTAGCACAGAATAATTACCTGAGAAGGATGCCTCCAAAAGCCAATCAATAATGAAAGCAAAGAACCTTCTAAGGAATAGAAGTCTACTGGTACCAGAATACCAGATGTCCTTTCTCAATTAGATAAATACTTTGTAAGTATCTGGGACAATCCATTTAATTGCCTGTTTAATACATTCCAGTTACTCTTCTAATAGAATTCTACGGACTACCCATTCTGAAATCCAAGAAATCTACTCAGCACTTTCTTGTCTAATAACATCAGCTAAAAACCATAGCACAAAAACCACTGGCAAAGCCTGCTAATGAAGGGGCCTCAGTTCCAACTCTGGATACTCTAAAGGAAATAATACCACAACTGCTCTAGATAAAGAAATGTAGACTTTCTCTATGCCTGGGTCACCACAAGTTCCCTTCCCCACATGACAGCATTACCATAATCAATCGGAACAATTTGGTAATTTAAAAATAAGTTTGTCTTAGCATAATCAGCTAAAGTGCCAGAAAAATAACAGAGAAAATATGCCTTCCACAGAGTTAACAAATGCAGGGAAAACACAGGAGGATTTGAAAAGAAAACACACCAACCTTGAGAACTGAAAGTGGCAGTGATTTTGTCCTTATTAAGTGAGCCAGCAGTGACACCAAGTTGGAGATGGCAGCAGCTGACAGGTTTTCTAAGTCTCTGATTTTGTCCCAAATACTAAACTGAAATGTCACCTAGGGGTCAAAGGAAAAAAAATAATCTACTAATCAAGTGGCTGTTTAATTGAGCAACAACATAACAAACCTTTTGACCTTGTATTCTTTATAAGCCCTCCTTTAATTAACAGAAATGCTTGATCAGACTGTTCAAATAATTTTAAAATGCATAAAACAGAACAAAGAAAACATTCAGCATTTAATTTCCTATTCAGATCTGACCATGAGTATGCCTTACTGAATGCTTAGCCATAGCAGCAGAATTTTTCCTTGAGATCAAGATCCTAACAGGCATGCATCCATTCTCAGGTATGCAGTAACTGCCTTCCTAACCACAGTCATGACAAAAAACATGAAGCAAAAAATGCAGCAACAGATTTGTCTTTACCTGAAATCTTCTTTCAAATCCACAAAACTTGTTAGCCAAAAATGCATAGAAGGGGTTGAATGTCTTCTCCTGTAAGCAGCAGTAAAGGATGACATGAACTATTTCTCTCTCCTGCTGATCTTTCAGTCCAAGCCTAAAATTTAGCAAGAAGTTGAGAACAATTTTGTAAGGAAAAACTTGGCTGAAAAAAAGTAAGAGCTATAGTCACCATCTGACAGAAATACCTTAAAACCTATCCAAACATCACATTAAATTTTACTTGTTACAAAGTACCTATGAAGTCTTTAAAACTCCTAATGGACTGCAACCTTTAAGAGTGTTTGCTAAACAAGTATCCTGGTATGGCTCTGTGGAAATGCTGAAGCACTATGGGTGTTAAAGGAGGAGATGCAAAAGTGAGACCTCAAGAAACAGAAGTGGAATGATAGAAGTATTATCATTGCCCAGGAAAGGAAAGGTATCCCACTCCATGTTTGCAGCTCTCCATGAACAGAAGAGAGGGCACAGAGGTACCAGCAGCAGCACTGCACCCACTTAACCACTACAAGGGTTAAACAGTGAAACAAAGACTAAACAGTGAAACAAGAATTGTAGGGTCCCATTGTGATAATCTCGTGCTTGTACTTATGGCCATGGGAGGAAAACCAGCCTTTGGATCAGTGCAAGCCTATTTGGAGAAACATTTCCAGGGCCCTTCACTTCTGTGTTACTTAGTAGGGATAAGAAAATAATCTTAAATGTTTTTCTTACTTGGTGATATGAATTTTTAAATCTCTGGGTCAAATCCATGCTACATGATACATGAAATTCTTTTTTTTTTTGACAGTAGCCTAAGGGGATACAGTCAGTGATTACAAAGCACCTTAAAAAAAAAAAAAAAAAGCCTGGAGAAAACACCATCTATGTATCTATCCATCTTATGTTGGCTGCCTCATGAAGGCCAAGAACTGAGCAGCCTTTCCACTCCAGCAGCTGATCAGTGTCAAAGAGGGCTGAGACACTGGCAATGGAATGGTGACTAACTCACAATGCACCTGGTCTGTGAATAATATGATTTAACTTCCTAATGCTGCCAGATGCTTGGCAGCATTAAAACAAATTAAAATGAAAAATGCATCATATTAGAATCTGAAAAATATAGAACAAAATTATTCTCATTGCTTCAAGTTCAAGTTTCACAGGGCATTAGTACAACTCAAGAGTACTTTCAACCAAGTTTGATTCCACTGGAACTTGCCTTACTGTCTCTAGGGTAATTGGTCATTACTTGATGCCAATATCCCTCTTTTGTACACACCTCCAGACATCTGCATTGCATGTGACCACAGACACCCCACAGACAGAGAAAACTGTGTGGAGCCCAAACTCCTTAGAATTGTAAGTTTTACAGTAGGAAAATCTGGGATGACTTCTAGGCTAACGAGCAGTAAAAATGTAGAAGTCTGCTCTTCTAAAAGGGGTCAGTATCCTAAGTGCTGTGTCTGTGTCATAACCCACCTGCTCTCCCATCAGCCAAGCTCCATCTGATTTCAGAGTAACAAAGGGTTTTTTTACAAATATACAGGTTTTCAGCTATCAGATTTGCATTTAATAAATGACTACAGAAGTTACACTGCAATCAGTAGTTTGGCACACTCTCCTTTTACTTGTTCATCATCACTCTTGTCATGACTTGCTTATATGTTGCTAGAGTTGTAACCAAGTGACAACACTTGGATACTCAATGTTCTTCTTACCTTCACTTCTTCACAGAACTAGAACTCCTAAACATCTAACATTTAAGAGTCTGAACTACCTTTCATTGCTGAGCTTCACCATAAACCTGTGTAGATTTCATAAGCCTGATATTCCTTGATAAAGAGTGTGAAATCATCTCACTGACTCAATTATTCATGAGTTACAGTATTCCAATGGACTTGTGTATCTTGATCCTGCTGTAAATGGGATAACTGCCTCTCAAGTAGGCTGTTTGGCACCAGCAGAAGCCTGCCTCCAAGTAGGTTAGTTATCATCAGCTGAAGCCCAAGAGTACCATTGCCTTCAGATCAAAGATAGCAACACTTAAATCCCATTTTAAGTAACTTTAAATTATATTAGTAGATACAGTCACTTTGGTAGTGAGTATTCAGCAAGAAATTGAGAATCATTTCATAAGGAAAAACTTGCTGACACAAAGTTATCTTGAATTACACATCTCACTCCAATAGGATAGCTGAACCTTTCATGAGTGGCCCAGTATTTTCTGAGACGTGAAGTTTCTCAAATTCTTTATGTCTACAAAATAACTTCAAAAATTGCCTCTCCATCAAACGTAAGCAGCATTCATTCTCTCTCCTGAGAGAAACTGTGGTTTGTGAAGGTGTGGCCTCTAAGCTGATGAAGAACATCCAGTCTCATTCTCTCCTCTTTGCCACCAGTGATGTTCCGAGCTCTCCCTTCACTGACACCTCTGCAATCACTGAGCCACTTCAGGGAGTTGTTCTGGCTTCAAACTAATACTTCCATCTGCAGTAAGGAGGAAAGGGACTAGAAAAACTATAGCAGCCTAGATTTCAAATAGTTCCTATTATCCTTTAACCACACCTCAACTCTGCCACAGAACTAGCAGCAGATGAATCAACAAGAGTAGTTAAAGTATTTCTTTATATGCTCTTCCTCATGAGACATCAAACATACAAATACAAATTCCTATACACTCTGGAACACATGTTCACACTGAAGCTAATTCCTTCACTGACAATTATGTGTACTTTCCATTATACTCTGCAGATGTGGGCAGATTTAAGAATTCCTCTCTTTGAGTTTGCTGTATAAACATCAGCACCAACACACACCAGGCAGCCTGCAGAGAGATTTTCTGCCAAGCCTGTATGTATTCAAATTTGTGTATAGCTTAAATAGCACAGATGAGAGTCCAGTCCAATTTGCAAATTGAGCTGCCAGGTCTTGGCAAGAGCTGCAGCAGCAACTAATTTCTTTTAATTGAACAGGCCATATTAAGATATTGGAATGACTCCATCACAGTATCAAATCCAAGCTCTGTTTTGCAAAAGTGGCATTTAATCAAATATTAGTTGACTTTATTACAAAGTCTGTTTTGGTTCAGTAAGCAAATTAAATAATTGCATGCCATCCTGGTAAGACAATACCCTTGAGTTACAAGGCTGAGACAGAAAAGTTCAGATCTGATCTCTCCCCTCCCAGTTCCTACAAACTTACAAATAATATTCTGACAAACACAAGGAATGGCTTGGTTTGAGCTCTTCCCTGATCACACGTTTTGAAGAGCTGCTTGTCAGGGGGTAAGTGAACTAGTCTTCATGTGAAGCAAACCCAAAGCTAATAAATTCTGCAAGAGGGAGATGAAGGTGCTAGAACACTTCCAGGTCATGCAAGTTTGGGCAGAGGTGGCTTAACAAGGTGGCAGGAAGTCAAAGAAGTGGCAGTAGTACAGAAATCACAGCAATCCAGCAAAAAACCCAAAAGATGTTCTGCAAGGGCTTCTGGTCTGCCTCTGTAAGGAAACAATTCTGCAGCAGCCTTCCATCCACTCTACTGGGATACACAGCTCCAGTGCAAAAAGACACAAGCTCCTTTCATGAAAAGATGCTGCAAATCACAGTTACAGCCAGGAGTGACAACAACAGGGGCTGTTCCTTTCCTCTGATTGCCAGTCAATCTTTCCTGCCCCCATTAATCCTTACACCATGGTTCTGGTCCGCTCTCCTACCCTTTTATCCTATTTGGGTCCCTAGCTATGCACTTCTTTTAATTGCATTATCATCTGAATGTTCTTAAGCCCAGACCAGAAATGCTGCATTTTCAACCTATTTTTAGTTCTGGGCTGATTTCTGTACTAGGCTGTACTTACCTCAGAAGTTTTTCAAAAGCATCCATGAAGTCCTCACTCATCATCAAGACACAAAAAATACTTCTCCTGATATCAGTGTTCATTCTCAGCTTACGAGCAAGCTCCATTATTTTTGAACTCACCTGAAAATAAATTATATGCTATTTTATTTCTGTTTGCCTTAAAAATGCTATTTCTGTACAGACTTAAATAACACCATCAGTGAAGCTCTCCAGTAAACTATGAATCACCAGTCCAAAGGTCCAGAGCTTTTGTCCAGAGGCACAGCCATCATCAGGAGCTTTTTCAACTAGGGAAATACATTTTAATCTACGTTAATTATGCCAATTAATTTTAAGATGTGCTTCTTTAACATAAGTAATTCACCATGACCATATCATCACATTACTTTTGGAATCAGCTTAGACATATGCCACAGACAGACACCACAACCTGTCAGAATTCCTACTAGCAAATCCACTGTTGAATCAAGTCTCTTCTTTCACCTTAGCAATTCCACAGGATAAGAAAAAACAAGCTATACCATATTTGTAGCAACTGCTCTTACGAAGCACATGAGTACAATGTTTTAAAAAAATGGAGAGCAGAATTTACAATCCAAAAGCTTCCTCTTACAAGAGCATGGGAAGGATTTTTTTGGTGGGCTCTGAAATGAACTTACTGACACATATGAAAAATCTTCAAGAGATCACAAACACTTAGACTTATAATTTGGATTTACCTTTCCTATGTGCAGCTTTTGCTGAGCCTGGCTTTTTGTATCACTGATCATTGGTGCTCCACTCCAGGATGACCCCACGATCCACCAGCGACCGGCCTGGTCAGCACTGAGGAGAGACTCCAGGGACACGCGGAGCTGGGTGTCTTTTTCTGAACCACTGCTGTGAACCTTGAATAATGAAACAAAAATAAAAACCAACACAAAAGCTTTTATTTGAAACTTTTTTCTCTCTTTGTACAATAACAAATATTTTAATTACTTAAAATTATTTTTAAACAAAAACTTTAAACATATAAATTCATCTCTTCATTAAGATCTTTGCATGTTTCCTCCCTAACCTTTGTTTCAATCAGCAACCTGGAAAGAATGTACAAGTTTCCCATATGCTGTAATTCTCTAAATGTATAAAGTTGCATAAATCTACATGTAGAAGCTCTTGGGTTTTTTATTTGAAAAAAGAGATACTAATCTAAAAAGCAAACATTTTCCAGCCACGAAGTTTGATTAGAATTCAGAGGATGATGACATTGCAGCATCCTACAATCTGGTCATGATTTTCCTTTTGAACACTTGTGACTACATAAAATGACACAACAAACTGCCTTGTGCATTGTACAACTCAAATAACAAAAATTTTAAACTCTGAACAAAATAAGAATTTTCAACAACAGAGTCTAGAAGCATATCAGAAGTACTGCAAAAATTTAAGAGAGGAAATCCTACAGAACTCTGTACCTAGCTTGTTTTTGTCTGGCCTCTTAACCTGATATGCACATCCTGCACTGATAAATTACTCTCATCCCTTTTATACTGGGTTGTTCTAGACAAACTGCCCATTCTGTCAAAAACAAATATACAAACACACACACCAAAAAACAACTCCAAAAAAACACACCAACAGAAAATCTCCAAGAAAGCTGAAATCCAATACAAATAATTACTCCTGGATTAAGAATAACAAGCCCACACCAGCCAAGAGAGTTCTCACCAGCGCTCTCTGCAATTTGCGGAGTCTTTCAACTGGTTCAGGGTCATAGCCAGGAATCTTACGCATGTCATTGTTCCTAAGTGCCAGCATAGTCTCCAGCATAAACCGAACCTATTGGAGAAAGAAATAGTTCTGTCAGTTCTAAGATGTGGGTTTATTAAGTAAAGTAGAAGAGTAGGGAGAAGAGTATACTTTGAAATCACTATTCTGTGAGAATAAGCAGCTCAGCTGCCAATATACACTAAAATTTAAATACAACACATTTACTTTTATCCCTATTACATTAATTTGTGTACAAGCTTCATCTGCTAAACACCTGAGCATTTTCTGAAGTGTACAAAATATCATGAAACAGAAAAACTCTCCATTGCATAAGACACAAAACAGTCCTGCCTCACCCATCATGAGCAGTTTGGTGTCTGTGTTCTAAGTAATGCAGAGAGACAGACAAGAAGAATGTAAATAACTGAATGTCACACTAACAGCAATTAGAACCTGAACAGAATGTAGCAGAAAACATTTCTGTAAATTAAACTCTATATCCAAGTACAGGCTGTTGAGAATATGAAATCTTTAGAACAAACACATACCCTTGTCTGATCCTGGAATTTCTTCTCTGCTGTGCTTGCTTTCCTCTGGGCTTCAGTGATCAGTTCTTTCAAAGCCAATGCATCATCTTTTCTTAAGGAAAAGCCCACATTTTTCAGAAGAAACAAAATCAGCTCAATCTCTTTTTCAGTGAAAGCGCTAACAAGCTTTTTCAGAATATCAAAGATCAGAAGGCAATGAACCACATGGAAGTTATACAGATGAGCAATCAAGGTAAGCAGATTTTCACATTCCTTCCCTTCAGCATCACTTTTACAGAGTTCATCAAATTTCTTCACCACAGCTTCCAAAAAGTGAGCACCGACCTGGCAACAATTCCATTAAGGGAAAAAAAAATCCAGCAGTTAACTCTAAGTAGATTTTACAGACATCTGTAAAACTCATTTTTGGGTCACTGCCACTATTAATTTTAAGGAAATACTGTTGCTCCTTTCAACCAATAGGGATGTTCTACATTTACACACGTAAATACTTAAATGGTGTGACATTTTTGTAGAAGTCTATGTTATTTACACCTCATATTTGACATCCAGGTGCCTTTTAAAGCCTGTGCAAGAAAAACAAGTATTATGAACCTACCATACACAAACATAATAATTTATTTACATAATATTCAAGAACACATATTAGCATCTTTTCAGCTGTCAGACTAGCATGCTCTTACTTCTAGTCAGGCATCCAGGAAAAGCTGCATGTCAAAAAGCAAACACATTCCTGAGTTTGGTATTTCAGAAAAAAATCCTTAGCAGAAGGATAAAAAATAACATTGTGAAAAAATCCTCAAAATACCAAGTTTTCACAGTTGCTGAGCATAAGGTGAAGCTGCTTTTGAACTGGGGATAATTCTTAGATGTTTGTCAGCGGTATAGCTGGGAAAAGAAATTTTGGAATATATTTATTTCTGAAGTGAGAACTGATGCTAAAGGCTGGGAATAGAAAGCCTATTGGCTCTAAAACACAGGGAGGTAATGAATACATTGCTGCTAATGAAGGCCTTCACCCATTACCACTGTGTTAAAATCTGCTGACCTTAAGAAAACCAGGAGTCCCAGCAGCAGTACTGACCTGCATTACAGGCCTTGACCCAGCTTAGCTGTTAATTACCCAATGGCTGCACAAATTTATAAACACAGGGCAACTTCTGCATTGCTCAACCTAACCTTCAGTGCAGCTGTACTATCACATTTTCATGTAATGCATACTGTACATTTATTTTACAGAAACACTGCATTTGCAGTCAGAACTGCCTTTCAAGCAGTGAAGAGGGACAAAATAAAAGTTTAATGCCAAGGCTACAGGGAGAAAGCTGCTTTAATTGCATCCCTCTGATATTTAATATGGTTTCAGAGCCAGCATTCAGGCCACAGTATTGCAAACTGAAAAACTTGCATTAATATATCTTTTGCATTGAGATGTGGGGGAAGAAAGAAGAGTCATCTAATAGCAACACACTGCTGAAACAACTTAGTTTCCTGACAGACATTTCACTGAAATTAGCTAAAGTATTCCCTTTGACATCAGGAGCTTCAGCATCAGCTTGGGCAAGAGGGATTTTACCTCATTCATCAGGCTTAAAAACACAAAACAAAATCCCCACCAAAAATTGCCATGCTTTTTGAAGTTTTTAATTTTCCATGTTATAACTACTTAATTCCACTGATTATTTGCATGATTTTCTTAGAAAAGAAGTTTATCCACCATTTAAAAAGGATTCTTGTAGTTGCAACACTTTTCTTATCTGGATATACATAGTTCAAAAACATAACTGACTAGTGGTAACTCATAGAGGAGATAAAATCAGACAAAGCAATGGACTTAGACCCTTTCACTTATGGAAGCCTTGCAAATACTGTGTCCTAAGAACTAATGCAGAAAGACAGACAAGAAGAATGCTTAGACCTTTTCACTTGTGGAAGCCACAAAATACTGATGAAAATTCAACTAAAGGTGCTTGTCAGTGCCACACTGTTAAAAATGACAAGGCAGTTCAAACAAAATGTCAAGGAAAACACTCTACATTATGTATTATTATACAAAATTTGCCCCCAGCACAAGAATTACCTCAATTCCCACATTATGATGAAGGATGCTGACCAGAAGGACGTGCTCCATCATGAGTCTTGCAGGCATGGCAACTGCAGTAACACAGGCATTCATGAGAATGTCTGTCAGAATGTCATTCATATCCTTTCTGCTGTTGGCCATATAGAGCTCTTCCATCTGTCTACTGATGGAGGACAAATTTGGTTCACTCAACCTGTGGAGAAACAAAATCCAGTGTTCACTCTTTCTTCTCCTTACACAGTGCCACAATTTTGAGTTCACCCAACAAACAACTATTCTTTTTAGGAAAACTAGTTTGACTTAAGAAGAAAAGATTGAAGATTGATAAGACGACCGTACGGAACCTTTTGTACTTTTCTATATTTACTAAACTAAAAAAGTATAGTGCATTTAATTATAGTGAAGTTTAAAAAAATTACATGTAAAAACATGTCAGGAACAGTATTTACAAAGCACTGTCACACTGAACAGATTTATTACAAAAAGAAACTCGTTTTAGCAGTTTTAACTGTGGCACATCACAGTCTTTGAAGCAGTTAAGTATGAAAATAATTAATACTTTAACATATATGGTATATCAAATTTCAAATGCCTGAACAAATTCTAGTCCAGGTTTTACAGGTAACAGATGAAAATTGCCAATAGATTTCTGATTTTAAAAATACTCTAAACTTGAAACGAATGTTAATTACTTTTTCTATTCTGCAGTACTTTAACCTGTGAAGGGTTGTTCCTCCTCAGCTGTAGCATTGGAGAAATTGAATTTATTGAAAAAACCCCAAAACAAACCAAAACCTGTTTTCTTCTGAGTTTTTTTTTTTTAATAATAAGCATACTCCAACTGACACTTAGTGAATTATACCTAGCAGTTGCAGGGAACTGCTGTGTGGAATCCAGCCCAATCTTAAATTTATTTTCTAGATTTTTCAACATCTATAATGACTAACTTTGAAGAATTTACACCAATAAAGATAATTATTCTTAACAATAGCAGACATGATTGCCAACTTAAAATCAGTTTGTGAAGAGAAAAAGTCACATCCTTGCCACCTGGGCTTGAATGATGAGCATTGTCACATTGATCCAGAAAGACTAATGTCTTCCCTCATTACACTACCTATTAATGAGGCCATTCACCATTTTCTTCAGTCTTCCCAATTCTTCTCTTTTCTTGTCATCTAGTGTCTCCTGCATTTTCCTTATTTGAGGAGGCATATACTTTGTAGCACCGTGATTATCACTCTTAGGAGGAAAACAAGAAAAAGGTATCAGATGAGACCAGTATCTTAAACACTTGAAGACAAACATACATTTCTATTTAAGATTAAAGTGCCAAACTTTAAGTTAAGGATATATCTTACCATCTAATAATCAACGCCAAAGAAACAACATGAAGAAGCAGGCAAAAAAATTACCCTTTATGACAAACTTGACGACAGCAAAGCCCCTCTTCCCTAACTTTCTTTAAGTTATGGTCATTAAAACCTGGCATCTTAAGTCTTGGTTCTATTAAGTCTTACTTAGGCCTATGAAGGCTAAATGACCTGTGTGACCTCCTTTCCTCCACCCATTCACCAAGACCTAATACTGGCAGAACCTCCGAGATCGTTCAGAAAGTAACATTTCAGTGTGTAACTGCTGCTGATTTCAACAGAAGCTCTCTTTGCAGAAGGGCTGGATCATATTCTTACACTCCAATATCAGGGCAGATCCTTTTATTTGCAGATTTCATACAGAGCTACAACACGCATTGTGCTGTAGGGTATTATCTGCCACCAGCCTGTCTCGGTCAGGCTAACAAGTGTCTCCAGCACCTGGCAGACCCCTCACGTCAACACTGTCGCTGGGCCCGGCTGTTTTGAACCAGGACAACACTCCACGTGGCCCGACTGGACAGCGACTCTGGGCCTAACATCATCTCTGCTGTGTTCAGGCTGCGGGCTGTGCTTTGCGAAGCAGGTCTGTGCTAGCTGAGCCGAACATCCTACCTCTGCCTCCTCCTCCTCCTCGCTCGAGGGCTCGCTGGCCTCTGGCACCCCGCCGTCCTCAGGGGCCGAGCTCTCGCTCTCCCAGAGTCCTTCCCCGTCATCCGCCTCGGAGGGGTCTGAGGCGTCTTCCTGAGCCTCCTCGTCCTCGCCATCCTCCTGCTGTCCCGGCGGGCGCTCCCGCGGCCCCGGCTGGGTCTGCTCCTGCTGCTCCTCGTCGCTGCTGTCGCAGAGCTGGCTGAGCCCGGCCCGTGTGCCCAGCGCTCCCAGCACGTACCCCAGCCCGTCCCGCAGGAAGCTCTGCGGCACCCGCTCGGCCGCGGGCCCCTCCTGCTTCTTGCGCCGCTTCCCGAGCCCCAGCTGCCGCTCCAGCCGCCGGATCTCCTTCTCCTCCTCCTCGTTGGCTTCCAGCAGGGCCCGTTTCCGCGCCGAGGTGGCTGCGGCGGTGGAAGGGGCCTCAAGGGCTGTCGATGTCGGTGCCGACACCGGCCTGGGCCGCTGCTTGCCAGCGGCGGGCAAAGCCGGGGCTCCGGGGCGGGCGGCAGGAGCCGGCTTGGCCTGGGCCGGCTTGGCCGAAGCGGGTTTGGCCGGGGCCGGCTTGGCCGGAGTGGGCTTGGCTGAAGCGGGTTTGGCCGAAGCGGGTTTGGCCGGGGCCGGCTTGGCTGAAGCGGGTTTGGCCGGGGCCGGCTTGGCTGGAGCGGGCTTGGCCGGGGCGGTGGGAACCTCTACCAGCTCCCCGCGTTGGAGTCGGCGGCGGCGGCTCCGCTTTAGTCTACGCTTCTCCTTCCTGGCTTCCCGGCGGCTTCTGCGGTTGTATCTGTCCGAGTCTTTGAGCAGGGCCAGCGGCGGCTCGCCGCCGGCCGCCTGCACGTATTCCTGCACCGCCTGCCGCAGCCGGTCCAGTTTCCCGCCGCGGCGGGCGCGGGCGGCCGCCCCCCGCTTCATCCGTCCCGCCGCCACACCGCGCCTGGGCGCCGCCATCTTGCAGAGGGGCCGGGCTGCCGCTTCCGCCGCGCGGGCGCCATGCTGGGCACAGCGCCCCCTGCTGGCCGCGGGCGGCGGAGCGGCTCTGAGGGGATGGGGCCGTGGGGTGTCGTATCGGCGGCGCTCGGTCGGTAGAGATGCCCTCGTTTGTGTGTATGGATTTAAGAATCATGGAATAAATTAGGTTGAAAAGAACCTCTGAGATCATCGAGTTCATCCTATGACCGAACATCATCACGGCAATTAGACCGTGGCGTTAAGTACAGCGTTTAAGAAAACACCTCCAGGCACCGGCACTCCACCACGTCCCTGGGCACTCCATTCCAGTCACGCTTTCTGTGAAGAAATTTCTCCTAATGTCCAACCTGAACATCTTCTGGTGCAGTTTGAAGCTGTGTCCCCTCGTCCTATCCCTTGTCCTGGAAGAAGAGCCCGACCCCAGCTGGCTGCACCCTCCTTTCAGGTGCTTGTAGAGAGCCATAAGGTCACTCCTAAACCTCCTTTTCTCCAGGCTGAACAACCCCAGCTCCCTCAGCCACTGCTTATAGGATTTATTCTACAGACCCTTCACCAGCTTTGTTGCCCGTTTTTAGACATGCTCCAGAAAGAAAATGCAAGGCTTGTCCATCTTACAGCAGGGACTGGAGCAATTTGTCCATCACAGCCCTGGCTGTGCTCACAGGGCTCCCATCTGGCACAAGGCTCTCACTGATGCCTCTCCAGGAGCTGAGGGACACCAGCCCTCCAGAGGCATCAGCAAGAGAGCCCTCCACCTGCCAAGACCCACATTTTAAGCCCTTTCCAAAACTGCCAAGCTCAGGTGTCTCTCCCTGAGTGTGCCAGAGCCAACATCCATGCCCATGGTCTTCTACAGAGAAACTTGGGGGTGCTGATGGATGACAAGCTGTTCATGAGTCACCAGTGCTTCCTTGTGGACAAGAAATCAATGGGATCCTGAAATGCGTTTGGAACAGCATTGTCAGCAGATCAGGGAGGTCATGCTGCCTCTCTACTCAGCTCTTGTGAGGCACATTCTGGATTGCAGTTCTGGGCTCCTCAGGACAAGCGAGATGGGGAACTCCTGGACCAAATCCAGTGGAGGGTATAAAGAGGATTAAGGGACTAGAGCATCTCTCTTATGAGAAAAGGCTGAGGGAGCAGGGTTTGTTCAGCATCTAAAAGAGATGACTGAGAGGGGACCTCAATAATATATATAAATTTCTATGGAGGGTGCCAAGAGGATGGACCAGGCTTTTCTCAGTGGTACCAAGCAATAGCACAAGAGGCAATGGGCAGGAACTGATGCACAGAAGTTCCACCTGAACATGATGAAGAACTGTTGTGTGGGTGATCATGTACTGGAAGAGATTGCCCAGAGAGGATCTGGAGTCTCCCTTACTGAAGGAATTCCAGAAGCATCTGGACGCAATCCTGTGCTCTGGGATAACCCTGCTTGGGCAGATGACACACTGTGGTCCCTTCCAGTCTGACCCATTCTGGCATTCTGTGGCTGGTGGCAACTTCTCTTGGGGCATTTCCACCCTCACCAGCGTTCAGGACAAGGTGATGCTGCTGCTGGGGCCTGTGTCCCTGCAACAGGCATGCATCCTCCTGGCTCTGCACAGCTGGTGACAGCTTGTCTGTCATCCATGTGATCAGGGGAAATTAAATGTCCCATGGTAGTTTGCTGCTGTCAGCAGGAAAACCAATTGGTCAGTCTTATTTTTAGTCTCTGCTGTGCTCCAGGCTTATGGAGCCTGCTGGGTGTGTGCCAGATGACTGGAGTTCCCCAAAACACAGAATTTTCCCAAGTTTAATTAAAAAGTGGGTTGAGGAAAGAATTTCTTGGCTGTACAAAGAGCCCCAAGATGAGCCTAGACATTAGCAGACATGAGAAAAACACAAATGAAAGCCAGCACACAAGACCCAGTTTCAGAAGATGAGTTGGTCTTGAACCTGCTGTGGGGGCCAAATCCAGAGGAAGTCAGGTTTCATTTTGTTTCTTGTGGTACTCCTGACCTCATTTGGACAATGAAGTACTGCACAGGACTTACATTTTACCTGACAATTTAATATGGCTTTATTACCTAGAAGATTATTTTTGTCTTTCTATGCATGTTTCCATATTCTCTGATTACATCATATGTCCTAGGTGACCCATGCCTCAGAAATTCAGCTTTCTCAAGGCTGATGCATAATGAATCTTTCATCTCACTGACAAAATATGTTGCATTGATTTGTCAAGGCATTCCTTTTGCTACATTTTAAACTATATATTATGTTGTAATTTACTGCCAGGCCACTCTTTATTCATTCACTGACAGCTCACATGCATTTTGCATCCTATTTATAGATTTATTGATAACAGTAATCCAGCAGCATGCCAGAGTGCAAGATAAATACAGCTGAATATAATTTGAGAAAATATAAGGTGCTTTTAGAACCCTAAGATTTGCATCTTCCTTGTGTCTAATATGTAATTTGTTAGTCAGGGAAAGAGAGCTTTACAATAATGGGAAATTTCATGTATCTTCAAAGAGAGAAAATGCCATTATTTGCCTTCTTCAATAATTCATGTCACAAAGCAAAATGTGAAGAGCATGTATTTTGCTAAACCCCATAATCCTAAATTTGGGTCAAAATAGGCATGTTACTTTTGCAAAATGTATAGATAGAATTATTATTACCCATTTTTGAAGTAAAAATACTTTCAAATAATTAAAACAACATTTCAGGCAAAATATAAATATAGTCAAGAAAATGTTATATTTAAAGAAATACTTATCTGCTTAATAGACTAATCCAGCATTCAAATCTAATGATGCCATATCAAAAGAAATACATTACAACAAATATTTCAGATCCTATCCCAGAATATTGTGGTTTATTATTTTACATTTAGCAATTTAGCTTTGAGTACCTGGTAAATACAGTCTTCTTAAGGTCTAAAATGTGAATAAATTAGAAACTCCTGCCAAGGACTCTTCCAACATTCCTGTGTTGTCTAAGTACCAGAAAAGGGAGGAAATCCAGTTTCCGTTTCACAAATTTCACTTTTAGATCTCTGCATCATGTGAGTATCACTTACCAAACAGGAATTTGGAGTTGAGGGAACATTTTGTAATTGTTCATTGTTTTGACAGTGGTCCCACATCAGAGAACAAGCCATGAGGGCAGGCTTCACATTTGCAATGAAATTGAGCATAATGGCATGATTCACTGGAAATGAAAGTTCATACAGAATTGTTGCTTCCTGCTGAGATAATCTTTGTTAACAGGTTTCCTTTGGTTTCCTTTCCTATTACTTTATATTAATGGATTATTATTTCCCAGCCCTCAGCAGAATGAGCAGAATACAATTTCTTCAGCTGCCTGCCTGCTATTGTCTCCTGATCCCACTCCACATGCCATGAAAATGTGCCTTAGTGACTACATAATGCACATAGGTAGATTCTGACTCTTTTGTAATTTGCAGCTATTGAGAATATTTATCACCACAGGAAATATCAAAGCAGCACCAGAAAGACTTTTAGACTGAGCTCATAAGGGTGGCTCTTTGTTCTCACCAATGGAGAAAACAACCTGATTGATGTAAGAACATAGCTTTAAATACAAAGACTTTTTTGACTCTACAGAATAAAAGCTTCTTGCCAGAATGAATTTATTCTCAGCCCTGAGAGCCCCCAAACAGTCCAAGTGACTCTGCTATGAGTATCTAGCACAGCATCCATCTATTGCCTCTCCCCATGTCATATAGTTCTGGGATCAGCAGAACTGAAATTTGGTCTGCTGGGAAAGATTGTCTGTGGGAGGACACTTTTCTTCTGGAAAACATTTTCTAGAGTCTCAAGGCAGTACAAAGTTGCTGGTTCTTCAAGATGTGTTTCAGTCCCATCTATTGCAGAAGGTATTGGTAGGTGAAGAAAGTGGTTTCTGTAGTGCTTTAAAGATACATCCCTGTTGCTCAGAATCTTGGTGGGGATTTTTTGATTGTTGGTTTGTTTTGGGGATTTTTTTTCCCCCCCAGGGTGTATGTGCTAAGCAATTCCTGCAGTCTTGGTCTGTAGACAGTTTAGCCAGGCATGCTGAAAACTGACTACACAAAGAGTGTGGAAAAATATCTGTTCTGGCACTTTCTCACACATTTCCATCATCTTTGCACCCGACCTTGGGATGGTCATTTATCTTCCCGCTGCTGCCTTTGTACAAAATGAACTTTCTTCCACCATTCTGAGACTAAAGCCACACAAGTGTATCCTTCTGTATCTCCAGGTTTGTCTGAAATTCCACCCACAGCACCTCCCCTTGAGGTGTAATTCCTGCCACTTCTCTGGGGCTGTCCCAACAGATTTGCTGACTGAAAGCTGTTTGCTGAGTTTTTAACGTAATTTCTCTCTTTTAGTCCCTGAAATCAATGTCATTTTAGTCAGTGCTCGCTGGTGATACTCCTTAAAAGAGATCTACCATTAGTTTGAGCTCATGTAGGCTGTTTGATTGAGACAAATTAGAAAGTAATCATGAGTATTTCACATGAGGATGTCTGTAGCTTTCCCCCCACCCTCCAAAAAGCAGAAGATGAAATGGAAACTTCAGCTGGCAAAACTCAAGTAGGCAAAAGATGCATATTCACTGATTTTAATCATTAATATATTTTAGTTCATTGGAAGGAAAGAGTGGGTACTAAAGGTTATTATTTAGATAAATGATCCAAAAGACAAGCATAAAAAAGACAGATATGCCGAGTGAAAGCAGAAACTCATTTCCCCAATCCATTAGCATTTTTAGTTTTAAACTATAAGGAGATTATCTATGTTGCACAAGGATGACGGAAAAAATTCAATCAGATTACTTTCTTGCTATTAAAAGGAAGAGGTAAATTTCAACTAAAATGAGCTTTAAAATTAGTGTTTTATTCCCATCATAGTTAAAAAAACAAACAATTGTAAATCAGAATAGCACCATTGATTAAAGTCCCACATTATGGCACTTTGCATTTTTTCCCACAAAATTTATATAATCAAAGCTTCTGTGCCAAGAATTGTCCCTGTGGGAGACATAGTGCTAAATACCAACCTTATCTAATGAACACTTGTATTGTCATTTAGAAGGCAGTTTTCATCAAAAACCTGTACAAGGGATCCTTTTCTCTCTGCTCTTTCTCCTTT